AGCTGGGCCACACTTTTTCCAGTCCTTATCAAGTCCAGAGGACTCCAATGTGCTTCACAGTCATTCACCCATTCACACACACGCATCCAGTCATGGCAAACTGCTGGATAGTAGCCGCAGCTGCCCTGGGGCAACGTGTTGGGCTCTCTGACCATCATCAAACAAGTTTATTTTCATAACATATTTCAGAAACACAGCAGTTTAAAATACTTTACATAGAGAACACCTAAGAACAAACATTATAAACATTATAAAACATTATATAGTCAGCAGTTCAGAAAACCAAAAACAAACATTATATTTTGTCATCATCAACACACATCAAATATGTTGGTTAATGTTTCATTTCTTAGGAAATTTGCATTGAGAAATAGTTTGTATAATGGGATCAGCAGACACCTGCACAGCAAATTCTGCAGAGTTAAATCAACACAATGCTAAGTCTATTGACAGAACTGGTGTTAATTTAACTCTTTCAACAAGAAATTGAGTAATTTTAACACTTGAAATAACTACTCAAACTATTGTTGAAATAACTCTATTCTTATATAACTTCTAGAATTCCTCAAACATGCAAGAAAAAATCCAAACGTATTCCAGGTATGATTTTGATGAGGGAATAATATCACAACATGAGATAAGACTCCGAACACTCGATTATACATAGTGCCTTACTCCTCACCTCCAGCCCTCCTTTAAAGTTCTGCTAGAAAAGTCAATTAACCATCTCTCCTCGTCCAGACCTGAGTCCACTTACTCTTAAGAGACACTAGATATATTTGCACCAAAGTCTTAACAACCAAACCTCTGAAGAAATTGTCTAAAAGAAAAAATAGCTATAGTTTATGCAGCTATTGTAAACTTTATATATATCCATGTGTCTCTTGCTCCCCTGAAAGTCAGAATGCTAAAATCTGGCTCAAACAAGCATTAGAGAGAGACATAAAAACAAAGATCTCTCTGAAATTGTCTAAAGGAAGATCATGTTTACTAGATGGAACCAGTTTACATAAAGTTGCTCTTCAGGTATAGAACTACCTGACAGCTTTGTCTTGTTTTGATTGTTCTGATGCATTGTAACTTTGGTGGACAGATGCTATGCAACATTCTTTATGTGGGTGGAGAATCTTTTTCTTTGTTTTGCCTAAATTTGTGTTAAGGGTTTTTGTGTTTGTATATTACAATAACATAAACTGACTAGAAAATGGTGCAAGTATGGATGCAAACTGAAATAAAATGTCACTAGATGTTATTTTTGGACACCAAAACTAATCAAGTTGCCAACGTGGGTTTGGCAGAGATTGTGCATTCATGCAAAGTACTCCAGGAAGTTCACAAAAGGTGTTTTCCCTGTTTGAAAGACTTTTGGTGTTTGTCTTTAAAGAAGAGCAGCAAAATAAACGTGCACTCAAGACACCAGCCTCTTTGGAAGCCAGGGTGCCTGGAGAGGTAAAGTAATTCATTTCCTATCCATCAGAACTTTATTCTACTTTTATATCTTAACGCCCAGTTTAGCAGAACTTTATATTCAAAAATTGATTTCTTTTAGCTTCTCAACTCCTAATATTAATTTCCTGCTTTAGTACAAACAGAAGCATTTTGTGCATTTACTAAATGCAAAATAAAATCACTCTACTGTATATGTGTTTTCAAAATTTTCACTCTCAATTAGCAGACAGGGATGCACAGAATGTCAAGCACTTATCCATTTTTCTAAAATCAAAAAGGAAAATGTTTGAAATCAAAGTTTCTGATTATGTGAAATGCTGCTTAAATCACCAGTAACACTTAGGAAGCTTAGGGAGTTTAGGGAACTCTTAATTTACTGTCTTACTGTTTTTGGTCAAATTGTTAGAAGCTTTATCTCAAACCATCTCTGACTGCAGAAACAGCTTTCATCTACAGATTGATGACGGAGTGAGGGAAAAAGAAAAGGGAAAACATCAATAAAGTGATGAATGCTTGTTTGCTCAACAGAAATTTGTAATTAGACTGTGGGAGATTTTATCTATGAACTAAACTGTTAGATGGCTAATATTGTGAAATGCTAATATTGTGATATATTTCTCTGCCATAACATTCATATCGTATTCTCAGGCCGTACCACAATAATGGAGACAATAGTTTGTCTCTAACTCTTGACTAGTTGGGTCGGACTCTACAATGAAACAAAAAGCTGTGTAGTTTTGCTTAGTGTACTTTATGTGTCTGGCTTTTTAGTGCTTAAAAAGTTATAGCGTTTTTGTTAACAAGTGACCTTATGTCTCAAATTCTTATTTATTAAAATGTTACTGACACCATCAGAGGCTGGTAGGAAACAACATTCAATCAAACAGGTGACAGTCTTTAAGTCTTTGTCTTTCAACAGTTGGCGTCTAACTTTGTAACTACTTACTTACTACGTGGCTACCTCCATTAAGGCTATTAGAGGTAATAATGGTGGGTCACCTCAGTGTCCCCATACTGCCCCATTCCTTCCACTGGTCAAGGTGGCAGGTCAGTAAAAAGTCAGGGTTATGCCACAAGGTTACCACCACGCTGCAGCGAAGCAGCACTGATGGAATATACCTTCATACAAAAGAGAAACCTTTTGAAAGCTGAGCTTACAGTGCTGTCTGAGAGGAATGTTCTCAAACAGGATAAATAACCACTGCAAGTGTTTTGTTTCTTTTTTTTTTGGTGATGATTTCCTTGTAGCTTTTCCTAGAATCAGCTTTGTTTTCAAATATGAACAGTGTTTCACATATTAGATATAGTGATATATGTTTTTTTCAGTAATGGTGATGTTTAACTTTTTCGCAGTGAGGATGGCTTTACCAAAGGTGATCCGGTTGGCTGTTGTTCTTTTGGTTATATGTTGCGCTCTGGACAAGCCCGGATTCAGACACTCTGTGTCCGTCTTCTTTGAGGTCAGCATGAAAAATAGTTATGCAACAAGTTGTAGTAACACACCTGGAAAAATTAAAATATGGTACAAACCAATTATGTTTCTTTTTGATACCGTAAATAGTTAGATGTTGATATCATTTGGACTAATCTGTGTGTTTTTACAGGAACTGATGGCTGTTAAATCACCCAGCATTCATGTCAGAGAGAAAAGAGAAAGTGAGTCACCCCAATGCAGAATGGCTGTTGTCTACGTATCGGTGTAAGTTTTGTGAAGAATGATTGGCTCGGATATGTTATGGTCTTTCCTTGTCTGTGTTCACTTTAGCTTTTACGAATGTCACTGATTACGAGTTCCAAGTTATTTTAAGCCTTTCTGAGCTGGAGATTCTTCAGACAATTCTCAACAACCTCAGTTTCCCCATAACCATCAACAGCACCAGTGAGATTTCCAACATCGACGCCACGACAGGTACAGTAAAGTTTAGCACAGACGTCGCCAACCTTTCTAAAGCAATGAGCCATTGTTCCCCCACTTCTCCTAAGTAAAGCATCTCAAGAGCTCCAAGGCCAGGAAGACAACAGAAGATTTGATATGTATAGGTTAAAGTACATTAGTCTTGGTACACATTTTAATTGAGTGAAAGAAATGGGTGTTTTGGGAGCCAAGTGAGTTATTTCATATTTATGGATATTCATTCCTCTCTCAGAAATAACATTTACAATTTCCACTGTGTGCTGTTGTTTTTTTCCCCCCTCCCCTCCACAGTGTGTTCACGAAATATAAGTGGGTACCAGTGTGTGTGTGAGGAGAACTTTGCCTGGTCTTATAACAGCTGTATTACCTATGGAGTGTGTGATGCCATCGATGGTGACACATGTGGCTGCATTAACGAGCTTCCAGCTGATGGTCAGTTCTGCCAGCTGAACAGCAGCCAAACAGGTAAGTTTAGAAGCTCTTAGAAGCGTATTATGTAAAATCGACTTTTTTGAGCTTTACATCATGATGTTATTTCCTCATCAAAAACACACCTGGAGTGTTGCTTTGATTCTTTCATGCATGTTTGACAAATCCTTTAATCTCCATGGCAACCACTCAGCTGTGCAAAACGCCTGGGTGGACATAGCTCCGCTTTTGAGGACAAAGCTCCTCCTCAGAGCTGCAGTTTCCAAACCGAGCTTCTGCCTCACAGAACAGCCCTCAGCTCTCTCAGTTCCTCCAGACTAGCCAGTACCAATTAGCAAACACCTGCTGAACTTATTATATGAGCAACTTCTCAGAATAACACTGGTAAAAACATTGTTAAAGGGTTAATAGAGGAGCCATGTTGTGATGACTTCCTGAAAACGGACTTTCAGAAAGAGGAGATTTTAAAGAGACAGAGGCCTGATTTCAAGGCACTAAATTAAGAAGTCAAATTTCTTTTAAGTCATATTTGATATATGCAGTACTTTTATAACAACTGAAGGTAACATAATTACTTGATTGTGTTATAAAATAGCTCTATGTGTCTGGAAGATGCACAGTCCTGCCCCTTTAAATGTGACCAAATTCTGTTTCTGTAGTTAATTTGTATTTGCTAAATGCCCGATTAATAAATGTGAAGTGAAAGACATTTTTTTCTTACTTGCATGAACTTTTACGTACATTAGGTAACTGCTTTGTAAGCTTCTGAGAGATGAAATGTAAAGTCGACAGCAACAACTCTGGACAGCCAACCAGGAAGTCAAAGCTTTCCCACAAATGACTCTTGGCTCCAAATGAGCATTCCATCAAATTAGTTACAAGATGGTTAGAGGATAACGCGGTAGATATTTCAGAGTGACTGGTTATCACAAAGTCTTGATTTCCATCCCATGAAAAATATGTGTGCAGAGGTGAAAAAGTTTGAGTTAGTTACACCTGACTCTCACATCAGCTCTGTTCTAATGTAGGTAGATTTTGGAAGGAATCTTAAAACGTATAACCTCAGATATTGTTTAAAGGTGGTTCTAACAAATATTAAGAAAGTGTATGTAGACCTCTGACTACTCTATAACATGTCATTCATTCTGGCATGTAGCAGTTTGCAATTTCAACTAGCCTAAAGCAGGTTGAACCCAGCAGAATGTGGGAGGATAAACTCATAGACAACGGATCGTTTATCACTGATAACTTTGTGTTTTTGTGTTTTTATGATGTGAAGCACATTGAACAGAGTTGTTGCTGAAATGTGCTATGCAAATAAATGTGGTTGATTGATTAACTTCAGTGGAGATAAAAAGGTCATGTGACCTTTCATACAGTGTCTGGAAATGAGTTTCTTTACTTGATCTGGAGTCCTTAAGCAAATTATTATTTTTTTTTAACTCAGCGGGTTGTTCCAGTTACAATTGATTCAAATGACATTTTAATTTTTTTTTTACCTCCAAACAATTTTTATCCTGTTCTTCAGATGCTCGTTAACGAGGAATGTAGTTATATTAGCTGTGCCAAGGTGAGAGGTGTAGCTGTTTCCCTGTTCAGTTCAGTAGTTTTTGTAAAAAGACGATACCTGAGGCATTCAACACACTGTGCCCTGATTTACACAAGCAGGAAACAGGAGGGAAAATGCTTCCATGCCTGTGTGGGCAAAAGAAGAAGGATGTGTTGCACTCAAACACGTTGGACTTGTTTTCTTGAAACTGCTGCATTTTTAATTTGACTGCATTAAGAAGCAGCAGAGTTTATACAGGCCTTAGAGAACGTCTCATTACTCTCATTTCCTCAAACCTGACAATGAATGAAGCAGAAATGTTTATGCACAATGTTTTTATTTGAGCTGCAATAGAAATTTGTTTCACTTCAGATTTTGATAAGTGTGTCTATCTCTACTAATAATGTTTGTAAAATTTTCAGTCACCACCCAAACACCATCCTCTACAACAGCTCAAGGTATGAATATAATGGATAATGTGTTTGTGTATTTTAAACTCCTTTTCCTTTTAAAGTTTTTAAACTTTTTCTAACACCTTGATAAATATATGGTTTTCTAAGTTCAGTCAGCATCGACTGAAGATAAACGTTATGTAATACAATTGATCAGAACTAATAACTTTATCCATCTACAGACCTTGATTAGTTAATGCAGTGTTACTGGGGAATTCAGCAGTTTTACTCCAAAATTATATTTTCCAGGTGTGAAAATGCAAAAATAATAAAAAGACTAAACATTTGTAGTGTTAAATTCTAAGGCTTCCCATGTACCCGTCTCTTTAAATGTTTCATTTGCATTTCTGAGATTGGCTTTGGGATCAAACCTTCATGCTGCTTCTTTCAGTGAACATGCTGGTGCGCTGTTGTTTAGAAATTAAAGGGATTCAATGTTTCCTTGTATTAGTGATAGTAGCTTGCATGGTCAATGGAAATGTCAATTCCAACTGGTTTCCATTTGAACTGGAAAACATTAGTAGCTCTCTGTGCTTTTTCCAGGTTTATTTTTACTTTTATACGTTTGTTTTTAATGGCAAATTATTCTCATCAGCATTTCCTCTGAGTTACACCAGAGATCCAATATCTTTGGTAAAACTGAATCATTCAAATTCCTGGTAGATTTAAATTTAAAAGCATATTTTCCTTTTTTTTCTACTTTTACCAACATGTTTCTAACTGGAAGCAAAAAAAACATTTTCAAGTCATCCAACTTGAATATGACAGAGAATATAGATATGGAGATAGATTCAGATTTATCAAAAATCATTAATCATTAACCATATACCCATAGAAGAGTAAACATTGTTTTTGACATAACTTTTTTTCTTTTTTAGATTGGACATTTAAACGTTTCGTTGTATTTTGATGGTGCCATCATTTTCATTCAAGGACAAATGTTCTGGTTGAATTGAAATATTTTATTTTTCTATATTTACCAGCATTATGAATAACCTTGGGCTTCACTGTCCTTACCGTGGCTCACGTAGTGATGTGTATGCTGCTGTAAATCTTTGTTTTGTATGATTGTGTCTTCTTCCTTCACATCCACAGAGCTGGTGGACTTCGATGTGACCCTTGACCTCCACATTCCGCTCTCCGGCGTTCCAGACGACATACTTGAGTTGATCAGAAGCGTTCTGGGGAATGAAACCTTCCCTGCAACCATCTCACAGTCTGTGGAAGTGAAAGAGTTGCTACTAACCACAGGTAACACTTTCAACAGTTTGTCTTAATGCAGTCCTCGCCAACGTCTTGATGTTTTTTGCTGATGAAATAATTCAGCGTTTTGTTCACTTGGATCGGAGAAAAATCTAAAAGTAGCAGAAAACTGGTGGCCCGTTTGAACCTTTTTCTTAACCAAATGTTGCACAAATCAGTGGTTGAAGTGGGCAAAATTATAAATTAACTGCAATCCATTGATGTCAATAATCTGACTCCTTTATTCAGTAACGAGTAATCTAACGTGTTATCTTTTCCAATCCAGTAATCAGATTAAAGATATTTATTGAAGCCTTTTTATTTTTTGTCATTTTCCTTAGTGCAAAGATATTTAGTTTCTTTCCTCTTGCGTCTCAGGGAGTGACGACTGAACGATTCTCTGATGTTTTCAGCGTGAGGGAAACTTACACTGATAGTGTGGACTCAAACATAAACAATGGAGGGAGGAGAAAGGTGAACGTTTTCTAGCTGGAAATACAGGCAACATTTTGACTTTGTCAGCTAAAAGAGACAATATCAAGGTTCACTGTACCCTGTGCTGGCCACCAACTTTTACCTACATAGAGAAAAGCATGAAATTTGACAAACATTTGGAGTCGCAGCGCGGTAGTCAAACTGACAGAACAATCTCAGCAGGTGTTGGAGACCTGAGGTCTCCCACCGTCCAAAAGACAAAAGCTGGACTTTGATACAAAACCAGGAAGTGGAGGAGAGTTGAAGAAGTTGGTTGGACTAAATGTTGCAGATGAAAATCTGCCCTTCCACACAGTACACTGTCCCAGTTTCATGTCATAGTAAGCAAGATTCCTCCTTCTGTCAGTTCCTCTCAGAACATGTTTTTTTTTCTTTCCTGGTCAACGTAACTAATAAAATAATTTGTGACTTAACTAAGTTACTTTTAAAATCAGGTAATCAGTAAAGTAACTAGGTTACTTTTTCAAGGCATAGTCAGAAATCAAGTTTCTTTTTCAAAAGTAACGATACCTATTTACATGGTCTGATGACTCCGAAGCACTTCACCAGACACCCACTAGCATACGGATGGTGATAAACTACAGTATAGCAGGCAAAGTGTATAAAGTGTCTTGCCCAAGTGGGGTTTTGAACCGGTAACCCCCATCTCCTGGGCCACTGGCCCCCCTGCAATCCGTTATTTAATAGTTCTTCTACAATCACAAATTTAACAACAGACTTAGGTTCTAAATGGTTTAGAAATGTTAAACATGCCATTTTAAAACAGTGATTGTAAGATAGTATTTCCTATCCATTTTAAACCTGTAACAATCACTTCTAATCAGAAGTAGCAGAGAGTGGTTCACCTAAATCTGTGATGCTAATAATAAACAATTCTACGACGCTCCTTGTCTAAAACACACAGCCTGCTCTCCAAACTCCACTGACACACTGCTGTGTGATTGTGAGGATGGTTTTTCTTGGCCATGTGACAAATGCAACGCCAGCAACTCTTGCAGCGACGTCAACAGTCAAACCTGTACGTGCATATATGGACTTCCCTCTGACAACGAGTTCTGCCAACCAATCACAAGTAAGTGAAATCTTGTTGAGTTGATATTTATGCAATTTGTTTTGAATTGTGTAACTGCATCTAGGTGATATGATTTTAATTATGACATAAGGTTTTGTATTTTTTTGGGACTAAACACAAACATTTCATCTCCTGTTGTTCCACAGATAACTCCTTCTGCCCAACTCCAAATCCAGGTATGTACAGGATAAAGACGTCAACAAAGTTTGCAGTCTGCTCCTGAAAACAGTTTAAACAAACTCTGAAACAACGTGAAACAGACTTGTTTGTTTTTAAGCTAACAGGATTTATATATGTTATGGAATACATTAGTATTATGTCACATGAAAGGTAGAAAAAGGTCTGAAATGATTAGCATTTTAACAACTATATGTAATTTTAAACAATCTTACTTCAGACAGACAGCCTCTGCAAAAGTTTGCTTTGTAGAAAACAGTTGTCACACTGTTTATATTTTTACGTAGGAAAGAATGTAAGGTCGATAATCTGCTTTTTTTTTTCTTTTTTACAGTATTGACAACGATGACAACAGCCATGCCAAGTACAACAACACCATCTCCTCCAACAACTTCTGGTATGACCCTAAATATGCTACAAATCAAGTTCTGGGTGCGAGTTTGAGAAGATCGCTGTAGTTTTGTGGATGAAGCGGCAGACGGTATGAAGAAAAAATGAGAGAAAAGGATCAAAGTTATATGTTTACATTTCTGAATGTGGTTTTCTGTGATCATATTATTTGTGTAAGTTGAAAAAGAACTATAGATGTGTACAGAACAGTGAAGAACAATGAAGTGTTTAAATGGCAGCGACTGATGTGGGAAAATTGAAGAAATAAGTGAACTACCAGAGGTAAAAACATGAAGCAAGACATTTTAATTGATCTGAACTAATTCCAGATGTGAAGGTTTCTCTATTCCTTCTTTTAGAACTCCAAGTCTAAAGTTCCATTCTTCTATCTTAATTCAATGGATTGGCTTTTTAGTGCAGATTCCTATTCATGTCTTAAGCACTGTGCTTCAAAAAGTAGGTATAAGATTACACTATATTGCCCAAAGTATTGGCTCACTTGCATTTACACACACGAGAACTTAAATAACCTCCCATACTTGTTCCAAACACTTTAATATGCCTGTAGCCCCTTATTGCATCTAAAACGGCTCCAACTCTCGTTGAGTGGCTGATTACAAGGATTAAGGATATATGTTCATTAGATTTTTTAAAAACCATTTTCCTAAAAAAATAAATAAATAAATAAACATCTTAATTGCCTGTTTTTTCTGTAAAACAGATCTGTATCAAAATCCCGTTTGCACCAGCGTGTATACTTGACACAATGCAGTCAGACAAGTGTCATTCTCCCTGCAGCTGCCAAACTCAGATTGTTTCATTGGATTCCCAGAAAATATGATTCACACTCGAAAGCATGTCTCTCATCTCCAGAGTTCAGTGCCTTTAGTGCACCACTGCTTCTGATGCCTGGCATTGCAAAGAAGGTTTGGTCATTGACGTCCATGAAGCTCAGTATGCACGTTTCTGGATCTAATCTGAAAGCTAGGTTTGCTGCAAGTGACAATGCAGGAAATTGGCAACCTGTGTGCACAATGCTGCCCTCTACTGATCCAAGTCTGTGATTATACACAGCCTGTCACTTTGTGAAGGAGATGCGTTCATTTCTCTCTTTGATGTAATCCAACTAAGACCATACTGGAGTTCACCATGTAAGTCTGCTTGCCTAGCTGTTGGGTTTCATACACCGTGGCCAAGAAAGTGATTTGAACACCGAATTTAATATTTTGAAGCAATGGCTCAAAAGAAAAATCTGGAAGAAAAGAAAGTCAGAAAATTTTGACATGAAACAGGTTGAAAAATATATTTTTTTATTATTTTACAGATACATCAACCATTCTGACAACCACATCATCTCCTCCAACACTTTATGGTACGATACATTAAATGTTATGAACAATTAATTTCTCTGACTTGGATCTTGAAATTCCCATTTTTGAACATATCAGGGAAAAAATAGCTAAAAGGACACCTAGACAGACCAAAGACAGACCTTTTACCATGACAATTTAACCAATTGTTTAAATCCTAAACAGACCTTTGAAAGTGATTTGAGATGACTGTAATATATTTTTATAATTACAGAAACACCAATCGTCATCTCAACTACATCATCTCCTCCAACACCTTATGGTATGAAACAGATTGCAAGGTTTTTTCCAGGTCAAGTAAGAAGAAATGATGATTATTTACATTTTGCTCACATAATCTGACAATGTCTACACTAATATAATTACCCACATAAGACTCTCTACATTGCACCATAAAGAACTCTCTCTTTTGTCCCACCATTGAGTAAGATGTTCTATGGTAAAAAGACTGTTGATTTGACCGGGAGCTCTAGCAACTTTTTAGTAACGTATATGCAAATAGTGGTCAAGTATCTCTTATGCAAGTGCTAAGAGGTTTCTCTGGATGACAATTCGCATGATTAAAAAAAAACAATGATGAGTTGTCATCTGTTCGCCTCAACAGAATTAAAGGACATTGGCATTGTTCTTGATTTGCACATCCCGTTCTCCAACGTTCCGCCCAATATCCTTGATTTGATAAGAACAGCTTTGGAAAATGAAACATTTCCTGTGACAGCCTCAAAGTTTGTAGAAGTGATAGAATTAAACTTGACGACAGGTAAGAGAGTCTGTTCATTCAAAGCCTAATTTGTAAAGTTAGCTTTGCTGTTTATGACAATGATGATTTTATCCTTTAAAATGTCACCAGCCTGCTCTCCAAACGCTACTGAAGGACTGAGGTGTGAATGTGAGGATGGCTATGCTTGGCCGTGTGACATGTGCAATGGAAACAATTCATGCAACGATGTCAGCAGTCAAACTTGTACATGCAAATATGGACTTCTTCCCAATGAAGAGTTCTGTCAACCAAACACAGGTAAGCTTGCTAATTTTGGCATTACTAAAACAAGGAGATTCTGCATTTTTTTAATAGATGCAATTATATAATTTTTAACTGGAGCATTTATGTTTTGTCTTACAGACATTGATTTGTGTCCCACAAGTTCTCCAGGTATGGAAACACATAGCTCTGGGTTGTAGCTTATGATCTGCTCCAGATAGTATTGTACTTTAACCTTTGTTTCCTGGGAGGACAAAAAGATTACAGTTGACTTAAATGATTTAACCACCAAAGTGAAATATGTGTTTCATAAATATTTTAGCACAAGTAACATAAAAGCATTGGTAACACTTTATTTGAAGGGGGGGTGAATAAGACTGTCATGACACTGTCATAAACATGTCATAACACCTGTCATGAACATGAATAAGCCTTCATGAATATTTATGACTGTTGTCATAAAGCGTCATTCGGTAAATTATGACACTTTTAATACAAAGTTGACATTATTCAAAATGTCTTTGTTATGACAACTTGACATTAACCAGGAAATCATTACTGTTTAAACTTTACCTTTAATAACATAAAGTTACCTAATTTTTAAAGTGCAATCAGTAATACTTTTATAACAAATTTATATCAGTAATGATTTCTTGGTTAATGTCAAGTTGCCATAACAGACATTTTGAATAATGTCAACTTTGTATTAAAAGTGTCATAATTTACCAAATGACGCTTTATGACAACAGTCATAAATATTCATGAAGGCTTATTCATGTTCATGACAGGTGTTATGTCATGTTTATGACAGTGTCATGTCAGTCTTATTCACCCCCCTTCAAATAAAGTGTTACCAAAGCATTTTATAAGAGTCACATGTACAGCAAAAGTGACAGTGTTATATTTTATCAGTAATGTTCAGATGTTTGCGTCTTTCTGATTTTTCTGCTTCCATCTTGTCTCACTGTACATATAAACATATGCGGTCTAAAAAGCTTGGTTGGTTAGGGAAAACGATCACATCGATGTGTCATCAATATCCACATGCAAAATCCATGCTAATTTTTCTGTCTTGGATAGCATTGTGAAAGTTATAAGGGGAGAAAGTGAGACAGAATAATTGTAATTGGTATTGTTTTGATCATTTAAAGAAGAAATCAAAAATTGAAAGACAAATGCGATTAATTGTACAACTGACATACTTACCAGTAATGACAAGGATGTTATCTCTGTCAACAACTACAACACTAATTCTAACCACTTTAATTGTCATCAACCATAACATCCACAACAACAGTCATTCCAACCACTACAACTGCAATGGCAACCACTACACCCGCAATGGCAACCACTACACCCGCAATGGCAACCACTACACCCGCAATGGCAACCACTACACCTGCAATGGCAACCACTACACCTGCAATGGCAACCACAACATCCACCCCAACCACATCAACTGCCATGCCAACCACAACATCTGTCATGCCTACCTCTATGACTGCCATGCCAACCATGGAAATAGGCTATCCGAATACATCAACTCCTTCATCAACTTATGGTATAGCATTCAATTCAATTTACTGCTACTAAGTCTTTATTACTAAGATTACTCACAAGTTTGATATTCATGAAGTTTTTCTTATAGCCATCAGTTCTGATGACTCAGCAAGGGTACTACTAATAAGGAAAATATTAAAACCATTAGCTCGTATTTAAACATGTTGGCCGTTGATTGTAAGGGAAATGTCTCATACCGTACACCTTAATGCATGTCTTAAAAAAGTATTAAGAAAGGTTGAAAAATATCTGGGATGGAAATGTTCTGTTCAGATAACACACTGTATTAATGAGTCATAAATAAATTAAATCTGTAAAACATTTCTATGTTTTAGCATCAACACTGAAATACATGTGGTTTTCTCACATTCTAGTAGAACTTTATGTGCTCCATGAATTGTTCATCCCAGTCGCCAGTGTGGAACCAGACATAGTTGACTTATTCAGAGCAGCACTCAAAAATGAAAGCTTCCCTGTAACCCTCACATCTTCTTTAAAAGTTATAGAACTAAATATAACAACAGGTAAGTTACTCTTTACATATTTAACAAGATTTTATGCAAATAAATAAACGTACTGTAAGATAAATTTGGGCAAAATATCTTTAACAGTCTGTCATCCAAACTCCACTTATGGCCTGGAATGCAAATGTGAGGATGGTTTTGGTTGGCCATGTGAGATGTGCAATAGCTACAATTCATGCAGTAGTGACAGCAGTCAAACCTGTACATGCATTTATGAACCATCATTTGTACACCAGTACTGTCAGCCAATCACAGGTATGGTTTTAAAAAGTTGCTTACTGTGATCTGCCATAAACTATGCAAACAATAATTTTGGATTCCTCTCATTGCTCCACAGATATCGCTATGTGTCCTGGTATGAAGACTACGTTTTTGACCAAAATTTTCAATTATGAGAGTTTTTATTGACATTTGAAGTCACCATTTCATTTTCTTTTTCGACAGTGAAAACCACAACAACAATACCAGAAATGACAACAGTGGCAAATGCGACAACACCAGAAATAACAGTGACAAACGCAACAACGCCAGAAATAACAGTGACAAACGCAACAACGCAAGAAATAACAGTGACAAACGCAACAACGCCAGAAATAACAGTGACAAACGCAACAACGCAAGAAATAACAGTGACAAACGCAACAACGCAAGAAATAACAGTGACAAACGCAACAACGCCACCAGAAATACCAACAGTGACAAACGCAACAACGCCAGAAATACCAACAGTGACAAAAGCAACATCGACAAATATAGCAACAGTAATATTTGCCACAACACTAGAAATAACAGTAACAAATACATCAAAAATGTCAACAGCGACAACAAAAAACATGCCAACAGTAGCCACAACAACAACTGTAGCCTCTGTTATAAGTGGGACATTTACTCTAAACATGGATTTCGAAACGTCATACAATAATAAAAACAGTACTGTTTATAAAGATATTCATGATGCTGTAAGTCATATTTAATTTTTATTGCTAAGTTTTGTAACAACATGGATGAACTTATGATACAAATTGTAATATTTACTTCTTGTTTGACCATATTAATGTCCCAAACAGATTACAACGAAGTGTCAGGAGCTTGTGTCAAAAGATTGTACTGTGAAGAGTCTAACCTTACGGTGAGTCACAATTTATAGCTTGTCATAGGCTACTTCAGAAATATATTTTTCAGAACTACATGGCATTAAAGTGTGAGTGTAATATGAAGAACTTTGGGGTCTTCTGGACTTGATAAAGCACTATAAATTGCTTTATAAGTATAAGTCATTTACTATGTAAAGTTAATGTGCTGGTTCATATAGGTAATTAGGATTAAAAGTTTATAACCAGTTATTTTGGGGCAACGGTGTCAACATTGGTAGGAGTTTGTTTTATATAAGTAGGTTGCGGGTTTGAATCCCTGCGCAGTCTGTCTAGTTGTTGTTTCCTTGGGCAAGACACTTTACCAACCTTGCCGGCTGGTTTGTGGTCAGAGGGCCAGACAATAACTAATCAATATAAAATAACCATAGAATACTCCGACGTTAGTAAAAAAAAATATATATATATATAATTTACTGTATTTTCTGCCACACACTGTCTAAAACTCTGTCAGACTTAGAAATATTGAACTAGTAAGTGTGTGAAACCTCATTTGATTTTGTGACTGAATTTCAATTCAGATATAATTTTGTATTCCAGGCGTGGAAGTACCATTGCTGACTATACTCTCATTAGTTCTTCTGGGGATGAAAAACAAGTTGATTTAGCAAAAGATGAAATGTTAAATCAACTGGCAGCAAAATATCCTGTGGACTTTGTCAGTAAGTGATCCTCAACAAATTTGGACCATGTTTCAGCCGCCTTAATATGTCCTCAAATAAATGTATAAATAGCATGGTGGGGAAAATGTTTAGCTTTTTGTGCTTTTTTTCCCCATCTTTGTGTCATACAGGTGTTAAAGAATTAACTTCATCAGTTAATCCCAAGACAATAATTGCTGGGGTTCTAGTCACCCTGACATGTGGACCTCCCCCGACTAATCTGGGTTCAGACCTGACGGTGGAGTGGACACGCTCTGGAAATCTCCTGGCCACAGACAAACCCAGCCAAGACAGAACGTCAAAATACACAATCCCAAAGTTTTTGAAAATTCATGACGGTAGGAATCCACTTCATAGTGTTGAAACGTAGCAGCTTGGATGGTTACATGTAATGTAACATCCGTCTTTAGGAAATTACAGCAACAATGATGGTTTTGGTTTTGTCTTTCAGGAACATATGTGTGTAAAGTGAAGCGGAAAGACGGTGCCATTTTCACACAGAGCCTCTCCTTAACGTCCAAAGCAGCACCGCAGATTACCGTGAACCCAGTCAGAGGAACGGTGCAATGTGGTGGTTCTGTGTCAGTGCAGTGTTCTGTTAACACTGGCTACCAGGTTCAATTTAAAGGCCTGACTCTTTCAAGTAAATATTCAACAAGCATATATTTTAATGCTTTATTATAATAACCTACGGCATGTTACATTTTCAGTCTATAAGTATTTGTTATGAACTATACTCAAAAGCAAAGTGTTATGGTTCTGTTGTTTAGCTCCTGGTTTGGAAATCAAGTATGATTACAAAGCCCCTGATGGATGTACCCAACGGGAAGAGACGATAACCTGCCAAGTGACAACAAACCCACAGGATTATAAAATAATAACTCTGGAATTAATCAAAGATGGTGGGCATTGATCCAGACAACAGAACCCTGAAAAACTAAATAAAATACAAACCAGGTCATATGTACAACTGCTCCAAAAACTATTCAAAACCCTGGTTGATTTAGATTTAAAACTATTCAACTAATAAGTTTGTTTGTGATTAGAAGTGACACAGGCCTCTCCAAAAATATATTGGGATGAATGCAAGGGTATTTTTTGGTATTTCAGCAGTCAAATCATTTAAAATTTCTGAGCAACTTTTTGCATGTTTTAATTGGTTGGTACTCTGAGTGGACCTCTCAAGAAACAATAATATTGTTTCAATCAGAAGATGTTGGTAAAATTAACACAATGATTTACTTGTAAATCTGCCAGGGTTAGCAGCATTTTGGGGCTGTACAGTGACCTGGATAGTGATTAGAAAATATGTTAAAAATCAGCTAAATCATTTTATCTTTTTGTTTAGTTTTTTGTAAAGCTGACGGTGTATTCAGTGCCGGATCGGAAGGTTTTGAGGCTGTTGCATCCTGTGAAAAGGGCAAGGTGGGAAACATAACTGCAGTTTGTAAGGCAGATGGCAAATATGGAGATATCCAAGACAACTGTGTTCTAGAAGTCATTCAGAATCTGCTCAATGAGTCGGAGGTAACCTGGTTCATCTCATGTCTATACTCTTCTTCATAACATATTTTATTTACTAAAATGTTAGGTCCTCAAAAAGAAAAATTCTGGGAAATGGGGAGTAATACATGACAATGACTGTCAAAAAATATGAGAATGATGTTCTTTAACAATAAAATTACCATTTTATGTAATTCTAATAACATTTTATTCCAATCATACCATGTCCTGTCCTTATTTCAAATATTCTAAAGCTGAGAAAACCTGAACTATCATATTAGACTCTTAAATCCAAGACCAAAAAAACCCCACATTTAGCAAAAGATAATCTTGTGTGTCTGTAACACACAACACTTCATGATACGTTCATGAGTCTATAATTTGGATCGATATACTGTAGTGATACAACTTCTGCATTTTATGCTCTAAGTGATTTAGATGTGAGTATTTCTATAAATTGCAATAATAACTTTGTTTTTGAACCTCGGCAGGCATTGGATGCAGTTACTCTTCCAGCATTCTTGGAAGACCTCAAGGGTGCAACTATCAACAACTCTAAGACCATAACTGATTCTCCAGCCACCATCAGCGCCATGGTGAAAATATTTGCAAATATTGGCAGGAGGGCCAATTCTTTACGAATCACAATATCTAAGGCCTCTACAGAGGTAGGCAGTGTGGGTTTATGTGCACAGGTGGTTGTTGTGCAAGACTGTATGGGCAGTTGCCCAGGCCAGCATTAAAAAGGGAGATGCACAAACACCAGAGAAAAGTACAACTTATCCAGATTTTAGATGTTTTTAAAAAAGTATTTTGCTTGTAAAAATATTTGTTCTTTTTCTGTTTTTTAATCTAGAATATCCTGGAAAGTGCAGGCATTCTTACCACTGATGCTGCAAAAGACTCATGGAATGAACTGAACAATGACAACAGAAATGAAAGCTCAGAAAACAAAAATTCCAGCTCTTCATTTTTGAGCGCCTTTGAAGGGATAACACCCCATGTTGTCAACGAACCTTTGAACATAGTTACGCAGTATATTATTTTCACCAAAATTAATTTCACAAACAATTTCCAGGATGACTTTAATTCCTCCGTGGAAATAGACATACCAGAAGCTGAGGGAAGCAGGCAGTCAGTCGCAGTAATATTATTTGCTTCCATGGACAACGTCCTTCCTGCAAGGCAAAACGTGAACACATCAGACAGCGTCATCAATGGAAGGGTGGTGCTTATTCAGCCAGAATCAGACATTAACAACATATCAATAGCATTTGATGTTCTGAATGAGACCCTGGGAAAGCCCAAGTGTGTTTTCTGGGATTTCAATCTGCGTGACGATCTTGGAGGATGGAGCGATGAAGGCTGCTCCTTTGTACTGAATGAAAATGGAACAGTCAGGTGCAGCTGCAACCACACCACGTCCTTCTCCATTCTGATGTCACCTGACAGCCCTCAGGATCCTGTGTTGGACTTTATAACCTACATTGGAATTGGCATATCCATGGGCTCCCTGGTTGTATGTCTCATCATTGAAGGCATCGCATGGAGAAAAATAAGAAGACATTCAACGTCATACTTGCGTCATGTCTCCATCGTCAACATCGCCGTGTCCCTCCTGATTGCAGACATTTGGTTCATTATTGGGGCTGCCATTTCAAACACAAACAGTGCGCCGGCCTGCACAGCCGCAACCTTCTTCATCCACTTTTTCTACCTGGCTCTGTTCTTCTGGATGTTAGCGTCGGCTCTGCTGTTGCTCTACCGGACTCTCAGTGTCTTTGACGGAGGGCTGTCTAAGCTAACCATGCTGATCATTGGATTCTCTTTGGGGTATGGAGCGCCGCTGATCATTGCAACTATAACTATAGCTTCAACTGCTCCCTCAAATGAGTACATCAGAGAAAATGTTGTCTGTTGGCTCAACTGGAACGAGTCCAAAGCTCTGCTGGCCTTCGTGATCCCTGCTCTCCTGATAGTGGTGATAAACTTAATCATCCTGATTGTGGTGTTGTACAAAATACTGAGCAGAAGAGGTGGAGCAAACGCATCCCAAGCAGAGGAGAAGCATGTTCTGTATGTGATTGCCAGGAGTTTGGCTGTGCTCACACCGTTGTTCGGACTGACTTGGGGTTTGGGAGTTGGAGTCTTGATCAGCCCAAAAAACAGAGGAATGCACATTACGTTTGCATTGTTCAATTCAGTCCAGGTAACATTTCATGTACATAATCACTTTTCATACTCTGATCCTGCTTCTTAATGTGAAAAAAATAATAAAGATTTCATTTGATGTTTCTCTAAAGGGTTTCTTCATTCTGGTGTTTGGAACACTGTTGGACAAAACGGTGAGTTTGTCTCATCTGTAAGGATTTTGTTGACAATACAGTAAAAAGGTGGATTTGAAGCACAGAAAGTGTGTAGCAAAGATCTACTTTTTATGTTAAAACTGTGTAATCAGTCATAGGGTTTGTATTGCAGAGATTTCCTTTTCCTACATAATTTCTCAGGTTTTCAGTAGCATACTAACCAACAGAAATAACTTTTTAGGTGCGGTCAGCGATGACCACATCTCAGGGATATTCCTCGCAAAGCAGGACAAAAGTAAGAGGTTTTCTTAATTCATTCATCCCATTGTTCACCTTTCAGGCTCCTGACATTTACTGTTGTTCTTGTTTCAGAGCACCAGAGGTGGAACTCTTTCCAGTGGAGTGAGCAACTTCTTTAACAAGCTGAAAAAACCAAGACGTACGTCACTTTTGTTTTTCATGATGTACTTCTTTAAAGGTCTATTCTGGTCATACTACATACATTTTAAAATCAATAAGTTCCACTACATATATATATATATATATATATATATATATATATATATATATATATATATATATATATATATATATAGAGAGAGAGAGAGAGAGAGAGAGAGAGAGAGAGAGAGAGAGAGAGACTTACTGTAATCTCTATTGTTAAAGAATCAAATTCCTAAAATAACTTACCAAAATTATGTTACATCCTAAAGAGCTTTTAGATAAACTGATCTTGCTGTAAATGAGTCAAAAAGACATTAAAATCATCTTCTTTTTTTTGAGGTCTTTGTAGTTTATTCTCCATCAAATTTTCAAACATGGTGTCGCATGTTCACATGTTCCAGATAATTATTCCACAAAATTTTATTTCAGATTTATTCAGTTTTATGATAACTGGAAAACGATTAAATTAATTTCAAATGTGTCTGAAGAAATACAGTAATTAAAATTTACGTGTATTATTACAAGCCTGTATTGTTGCAATATTTTTATGTTACTGTATGTGTTTAAAATTATATGCAACATACTCACAAATGGTCATTTTAACATTTTCCTATTCATCACAAGGTTATAACAGCACATTTAAGAATATTTTTTTCAAATGCACTGTATATACATGTATGTATAATACAAAACAAACAAAACATATAAAAGAAATTCAAATTACATAAATTTAAAAATAGAAATTTAGAAACTAAATACAGTAAAATCTATCACAACCAGCTGCCTTCTGAAGTCACCTAATCAGCAAACAAAGCACTTTGAATTGCCTTGTTGTTGAAAATGTGCTATATAAATGAAATTATCTTACCTTATATCTTTGTGTGTTTAATTTCAGACGGTTTTTTATGAAAAAAAAAAAAAAGAAAAAAAAAAACTGTTTCATGAAGATCGAGATTAGTTTGTAAAACAGCTTTAAAGATCTCTGGGAGCCAGACGAGGAGATTATGAAAACCCTCACGGTAACTCTGGACGACATGCTGTAGAATATGTTCACCTCATGTACTTAGTCATGTGCTCCTAAAATAAAATGTTTTGTGTGTAAATCTGCTAAAAGCCTCATCAGCGGCCAAAGTATTAGCACATGAGCTGAATACACAAGATTCAGGTTTTCACCAGAAAACGGTTTTAAAAAATTCTGTAATATTTTCTTCTGACTTTACAATAATGGAATAATTTTAATGGGCTACCCTAAAAAAATCCCAATAATATAAATTTAGGTTAAAATGTGGTAAAGGTTGCAAATTACTATCCATTTATGCTTTTTGACAAGACCGTATGTTTAACCCTAATCACTTTGAAAGCTCCATGAACTTTCTACTCCAATCTGTACCGCATGTGGCTGAGATGTTCACCTACAGGTTGTACAGTTAAGTGTCAAATGTGTGGGAATGTCTTAAATTTTAGTAATATTAGTCATCTTCAATAAGGACTGACTCTAGAGTTTAAAAGTATTGAAGAGTATATTTTCTAAATATTGCATATCTTGCTGTGCTGCGCACCTGGAACTAAATAAAACATATTTTTTGTTGCAGGTTCTGCCAGGGGCTACCACACATCTTCTGATGCATCCAACACTTAATCCAATGTAAAGTCAAGCAAATCAGTATTGTTTTTTTGTACAGAAATTTGTTCTTATCAAGTTTGATTTGGTTTTTAATAGATTGTGAACAAATGAAGGAAACTGAATCCACTGCTTTTAGCAGCTGCTACTTGTAATAATAAATCTTTCTTCAACTAGAGTCTAGTTGGGTCACCTCAATGTCTTGAATTTGAGGGGGGAAAAAAATCATATTTTATTTATCACTACAGAAGGGTTCAGTGAATGTGCATATGAAACTGATGGGTTTGGTACCTCAAAAAAGGTTAAGAACCACTGACATAGCATATGCATGTCTTTTCAAAATGTATAAACTGTTTGTAAACATTTTTCATCCCAACCTTTGATCAGAAGATTTCCTTTATTTTTTATGGTCTGGGATTTATTTGGTGGAAAAGTGCAAATTATGTTAAACATTGCTTATATCAGATTATTTTAAATTAACATGTAATATACAAAGTAGATGCTGAAAAGTCAAATTTTTGCAAAGCAAGTTATCCAAATCACTTTAGTCCAATAATGATTCTAATGTTACTGTAATATAACACTTCTAATATTAATGTGAAGTAATGAATTTTATTTTGTAAGTAGCTGTTGACGCGTCTGTTTTGTATAATGTGTGTGCGCGTGTGTGTGCGCGCGTGTGTGTGTGTGTGTGTGTGTGTGTGTGTGGGTGTGTGTGTGTGTGTGTGTGTGTAGGTGTGTGTGTGTGTATACTGGAATGAAGAGTGTAGAAATCTGTAGTGACAGGATGGTGTGTGTTATACTTTTACAACAGAACTGTATATTTTATTTATTAATATTTTCCCAAACCTAAAGATTCTAAAATGTCATTTTAATACTTGTACAGAAATGATGTTTTCTGCACCTTTCTCCTTTCATTTTGTTTTTCTCTTCAATAAATTCCTCGATATTAAAGGCCAGACTCAGAGTTCGTAGAGTAAACTCGTAAAACTGGTTACATGCAGTTCTTGACGGGGGAAAAACAAGCTGGCACCTTGTGTCTGAAAGCTGCTGAAGGCTAAAATACCTGTGGTGTGAGTTCAAACAGAGACACTGAAGAACTTTCAGTATCGCATGAAGGAAAAGAAAATGGTTTCAGCCCATCTGCTGAATGCTGTTGAGCATCAGTATCTGGTATCCTCCATGTTGTTGGCAGTGAGTTTCTATCTGTTTGTTCTCTTCTTATCTCTGAAATCAACACTGAATACTTTCTGGTTTCTAGACAACTCTATAAACCTGAGATTCTTGGATATGATGATCCTAGTAAATGTTTTTAAATACGTAGACCAGCCCATCTGGCAACAATATCTGTGCTACATTTTAAGATCTATAAATCCTCTTTCCTCCCCATTCAGGAAGTAACTCTTCATCTCTTGACCAAATGCATTGAGTGACAGCCATGTGATTGACTAAAGTCACCAGCAGTTGAACATGTGTACCGTACTGACTTTAAAACTACTAAGGTCTGTTAGTAGATTCAATTAGTTGGAAAAATGAATCAAAATGAATCTGTAATAATTTAAATTAAACATGCACTTGCATGTTTAACTTAAATTTTGTCCCACAAAAGTAACACATCGCATGTAACCCTAGAACGCATGATGGATTATTTAGACATTTTATAAAAATTCAGCCATAGGAGAAAAACAAATTCCACCTTATTAATGTTCATGTTTTTTTGTCACTTAATTGCATGATGCAGTAAGTCAATGCTTAACTGTGTTACTGATGTTTGGTTTTGTCTTCTCTCCAGTCAGGATGGCTTCACCAAATGTGGCCTGGTTCAGTTTTGTGTTGCTGGTTCTGTGCTGCAGACTGGATGAACTGGGATTAAGACAGTCTGTGTCTGTTGTGGAGGTGAGCATGAAAATCATCCTGACTTTGTCGTACCATGTAACACTAAATGTACTTTGATTTAGATGCACATCAATTCCTGCTACCTTTATTGTTAGGTACAGTCTGCATTCTTAGCTAACTTCAACTTGTTGGAGGACGGAGACCAGGTGACTTGTGCTCTAATTTGACTATGTCCACCCAAAAAACTAAAAGCAGCTATTAGAGTGGTCTAAACAAATTCAAGACTTGTACAGTGATATTTCCTCCAACTGATATTAAAACGTTCTTGAGTGAATGTTGCAGGCGAGAGGCGGGGTCACCCTGGACAGGTCGCCAGTCTGTCACAGCTTTGTCTTATCATCCTGGTAATTGGTGTAACATTTCATATTGTTGATTCTGTTTTTAAATTTCTCTTTTTAAATGAGAGAGAATTGATTATTCTCCTCATTAGATGAATGAAGATAAAAAAATTATACCTTACCTCATAATTGCCACTTTTATACTTTTTTCACCATAACCCATTTTTTTTTTTGTATATTCAGTATAAATCTGAAAACCTCCTCATCCACAAAAGACTTATTTTGGGTCTGGATCTAGACTTTAGATACCCAATCAAAGAGCTGCAGTAATAATTATCATTAAAACTACTTTCTGTGTATTTTCTTTTTTTTTTTTCCAAGTATCCATGACAACCTGCTGTCCAATGTCCATGGAGTACTTCACACCTCTGGGTGTTACTGACAGCTTCCATTCTGAAACCCGGTTTAAAAACATGCTGGTGTCACAGACTCTGATCGTTTTTAATAACTTATCATTTTTTTATGGAAACACAGCAATTGCAATATTGTGTTTTCTTGATATTAGCAGAATATCAAGCATATATTTGGTTATATTAGCATATAACCAAATGTTTGTGTAAACATTTGGGAAACATGCTGGAAGAATTAACCCAACATACTTCTAAACTTTTTACTGAAGTGGACCAGACACAGAAGAAAATAAGTTTTTGAACATATTAATGTAACTGTTAACAAAAATGATTTCTCTGCATTCCTCTGTACTGTTGGCGATTCTCCTCTCCTGATGTTCATTTTCAAATCTCAGTTCAGACTTCATGTTGTTATGTAGTCTACAGCTGTGGAAAAAATAGTATACAATACATACACAGCATGTCCCAAATGTTAGAATTATGCCATGTTTTTTTTATTTATTGCATTTCTTTGTCACATATTTCAATTTCACAAAAGATGTTTTTACTCACTTCTGTATTAAAGTGTATTATATTTTATCAAGGTTCTGCTTTTTTATATATATTTTTTTATAACTGTTTTGCTTCAGAAGAAGAAATTGTACAAATTCAGAGAAAATTTATAGTCAAGTTTCAAAAAGTAGCATTTATTTTGGTTTCCTTTGATGTTGCAAGTTAAAAGAGCTTAATTTGATTCAGTTTCCATAGAAACGTCAGCATTAACATATTTTTTATAAGTTTTATTATTATACACCTCAAGAAACAGCTCAGTGTAATTTGAAGTTACAATAGTCACCAAAGAATATTTTCCCAGAAGCAATCATTTTAAAAGCTGACCTGAACCAGGTATAAAAGAAAGCATAGATAAACGGGTTTAGTGTAGAGTTTGACAGTGCAAGCCAGTTAACAGTTTCAATCACAGAAACTGGGATAGAAAAGAAAATGCAAAGGAAAAAAGGAGACCAACAAAACAGAAAAACTCCCAGAACAATAACCAGAGTTTTGGTGGCTTTTCTCTCCATCTTACTGGCAGTTGCTCCAGACTTTATGCTTTGGATGCTTCGTGCCTGTCTCTGTGCGACAAGGAAGATCTTCAGGTAGATGCAAAGCATTATGACCACTGGGAAGTAAAATGACATGATAGATCCAATAATGTTTGCTGTGATTACATCAAGAAAACACAAGTCAACACATCCATCATGGGACATTCTGGGAATTGTCACTCCGATGCTAACGAGAGCAGAAACACCCCAGCTCACTGCGATCATGATGGCAGCAACATGACGGCTGATTTTAGATCTATATGTGAGAGGCTGACACACAGCATAGTACCTGTCAACTGAAATACAGCACAGGTGCATAATAGAGCATGTACTAAACAATATATCAAAGCTGTCACGGACCTTACAAAATAAACTCTCATTATAGGTACATGAACTGAGAGAGAAGGCCATGCTGAGAGGAAACACTAAAATCCCAACCAGCAGGTCGGCCACAGCCAGAGACAGAATGAGAGTGTTGGTGGGTGTGTGAAGCTGTTTGAAATAAACTATTGATATTACCACAAGGAGGTTTCCACATACAGTCACAAGAGACAAAAGTGTCAGAAACGCATACACCATTATACATGCAACAGAAGGAGTGGTGGTTAGTTTGTAACTAAACTGATTTATCTCATAGCAGGGATGCAGTAAGACAGTCACACCCGTCCTGTTTTCCATGAAGACCTGAAACTGAATTCAGGTTACATTAAAACTAAGACAGACATTTAAAATGAATTTAATAAAAAGTTAATTTACATACATGTAAACAAAGAGTGGCTTTTCTAATACCTGATACGGCTGATCAACCCTTACACGCTGTGAGAGCTGCTTACAGCAATGTGAGTCTCAGTGCAAAGAGGCATCATGTCAGTGCTGGTTGCTCTGCGGCATGATGGTCTCTGTGCACAAGCTTTTATGTCTTGCTTACCAACCTATCTTTGGATGCCACAATTTCCATCCAGTAATGAAGGGCAAACTGCATGTTGCCTTACAGCATGGCAACGTGTGTGTGGGTGTGTAGGGCCCAGCACAGTTGGACTGACGTCAAACTGTTGATGCATGGTTATATAGTTCTCAGATGTCTGGTTTCACACAGGCCTGTAATTCTCATTCCAGGCCACTATGTGGTGCTGTGATTTTAGCATGTTGTTTGAAATGCAGCCACGCTTTTCAAACTGACCTGTACTCGTCAATGATGAACCCAGTGCTCATGTAGCACATATACATTCCTTAAGAGAACCTGTTTTAAACTGAGCGGTTTACGTTGCACACAACACAACACTATCTGCCATGGTTTTTATTGTTATCTGCCTGTCTGTGCGTAAAACAAACCCTGCAGTCATGCATTCTGCACATGTGTGCTTTCACAAATCATGGAGTACTTCACACCTCTAACGTGCTGGTGTCACAGACTCTGATCACCAGCAACGTGTAAACAACCAGCTGGAAAACTGGGGCCTTATACTGCAGGGTCAGAATCCTCTGAAGGTCCTTAAAACTTTTGGACTGTGGGTCCCCATCAATGCAAAGAGACAACATGCGAAGTCTGTGGAGAGAAACCTCAGGCCACATCACAAACCCAAGGAGGTTTTGCTCAGGGCAACAGTTTTGGCAAGTGCTCCCTTTGGATACAATATGTCAACTTTCTCACCCCATCCTCTAACTCCTCCTGCTCCATACCAACTCATAATATAATAAAAACTTTTATAGCTACTGTAGTATGAAATATAGCATCATCCATCAGTCTGTACCCGCTTTCTTTCTGTAACCTTTACATTCTTGTTGATCATTCATCGTCTACAGCAGGGGTCCTCAAATTCAGTCTTCGAGGGCCAGTGTCCTGCTGGTTTTAGTTGTGTCCCTGGTTCAACACACAACAATCAAATAGCTGAATTACTTCCTCAAAAAGCAGTCAAGTTCTCCAGAGTCCTACTAATAACCTGACTATTTGACCCGAGTGTGGTGAAGCAGAGACACTTCTAAAACCTGCAGAACACCGGGCCTCAAGGCCTTGAGATGACAATTCCTGGTCTAGTATCAAAAGGTCATTTCAAGAAGTAGCTGCCACTTCTACCTCCAGGTCTGCACAGCAGGAAACCTTTCCTGAAGTCTTTAGACCAAGATTAGGCAACTGACTCACTATCAGTTCCTGTTCTCTTAAAATGACAATGTTTGTTCACAAGTTCTTTGTGGAGGTTGAGGAAGCTGGTCTTTGCCATTATCCAGTGCTATTGTCAAACTTGCTCCCAGTGGCAATCAAGATAACCTGCCTCTGCAGCTCCTTCATAGTCTCATGAGGGTCAAAGGGACCCAACTCAACCAAAGATAATTAATGTGCTCCGGCGGGTTCCCATAGTTTACACCAGGGGTGTCAAACTCATTTTGGTTTAGGGGCCGCATACAGCTTAATCTGATCTGCA